AAATTGTGAAAGTTGATGTTAGTGATTATAAATAGTAAAGTGCAGTATAATTGAATTGTGAATTACTGAGAAAATAAAGGACATTAGATAGAATCTTTATAACGAAAGAAACTGCAAATTAAGTTGGCGAGTTTTTATTTAACAATCCAGAGATCGTACCCGAAGGATCTAGAAAATAATCGAGGTTGATTCAGTAAAATCGTAACAGTATATTTCGAAGTTTCGCTGAGTTGTGCTAAGTTGTAATGCCACCTTTCTTCCATTTTAATAAAAAGGAAATGTCCGTTGTCGATTATCACTAAAACTGAGTTAGGGAATCGCATCGTTAGTGCGACAAATCGTGTCGACAAAAGTTACTGAACTGCACCATATCCAGCTTAACTGCATTGGAAGAGAAATACCCAATTGACATTTTTTCCAACCACGGGATTGCTAAGAGACCTCTATACGATATTAGTAAGAGACTATTTCACCGCTAGTTAACAGCGAACTACCAGAGACTGACAAATTATTTATAGAAGAATGATATTTGGGAGACAATATTTTATTATTTTATTATTATCTTGTTCAGAAATGTTAACAAAAAGAGTCAATTTCTGGCGGCAGTGGTGAAATAGTCTCTTATATCTTTCTTCGATTTTGGCAGTTGAGTTGACATGCTGTCCGCAATCGGTCCTTGTCGTTATTTGACTTTCTCTGGTTCTATCGCCCGAATATGATGAAGTTAGACCTTGGAGACAAGATATTTGTTTTGTTGTTTGGTGTCTCCGCAAAACTTAAACGGCAATGCAAACTGATACTGAACAATACCAGGAATGCAGTGAAAATTAGGAAAAAGCTTTCCAAACACCAAACGACGTGACTCTCTATCAAGAGGTTTCTTTAACTTGATGACGAAAAAAATACAAATAATAATAAATAGAAAATAGTTTCCACATCGTGTGCAGAGTTTTCCATGATTAGTATTGTTTCCCTTCTTAGTAGGTCGTCGGCGACCACGGACGTTTAGCAAACAGTCAAGACTTTGTTTAAGAGGTTCCTAAATCTCATTGCTACCTTTAAAGTAGTGTGAATGTAATGAAGAGTTTTAATAGCAGCTCCACAACCCACCCTGCCATCGAGCTTTGTGATCTCAGTGGAGATAGCTACGGATATTTGATCTAGAACTCTAATTTTTTTATTCCCGTTCGGGAAGTATTGTTGAGGAAGATTAAGGAGAATTTCAGTGCTTCCTTAAGAGTTGAAGGCATCTCTCCTGCAATGAGTGTGGAGGCTGCACCGATAAGTATCTTTGCCTATTGTTGGCCACCACACAGTGGCTCCGTAGAATAATATGAGCTTTATTACCGATTTGTATAGCCAGTATATTATATACGGTCCTAGTCCCCATCGGCACTCTAATGCCGCTTTACAGACGTAGAGCGAGGTCATAGCTTTATTATTCCTTTCTCTAGTATTCCGGTTCTAGGAGAGTTTACTATATAAGATTATACCTACACGTAGGCATTTAATAGCGATTGAAAGAGTGTTCTCGATGATTTTCAGTAAGAGCGCTTCAAAAGGTGCTTTCTAATGAAGAGTATCAATTCGGCCTCTGAGTTATGTATTGTGTGATATATCCAGGCGATAATCGCTGCATTAGTTGCGTTTTGGGAGTATATCATTTTGAACTTGAAGGAGGTGCTTTCTAGTCGCTGTAAGGGCGATAGCGTCAACGCATACTACTGCCTCGCAAACCGTGCTTCTTAGTTTGGGAAGCAATGTGTTAACCGCAATCTCAATTGTTGTTATTGAAATTAAAAATGCGATTTTTTTTTTTGAATTTTCAATTGTTTT